CATAGAATTGTAAACTGCAATTCCATAATTAGGGTTTGATCCAAATTCAAACGCCATTGATGAAAAAAAAAAAGCAAAACCCTGAATAAAAACAGTGAAAATCTCCCCCCATCCCCTCTCTCGCACTAACGACCAACAAGATTTGCCCTAATTTAATTTTCTTCCTTTCTGGATTTCTGTCACCATCGTCTTTCTTTTTTCCTCTTGTCCGCGAGGAAAAAACGAAAGATATTATGGCTCGTAGCGGAAACCTCGTCCCGATGTAATAACAATGCATGAAAAGATGCAACCTTGTCCGATGAAATTAACGCACATTTTCGCGGTGCTGTTAATTTATCTTGCCCAAGGTGCTATCGGTACCACAGACCCGAACGATTTCAGGATCCTGACCGATTTCAGAAACGGGTTGGAAAATCCGGATCTTTTGGATTGGCCCGGGTCGGGTAATGACCCGTGTGGCCCTCCTGCATGGCCTCATGTGTTCTGCTCTAATGGCAGAGTGACTCAAATCCAGGTGCAGGGCGTTGGATTAAAGGGCCCTTTGCCCCACAATTTCAACCAATTGGATAAACTCCAAAACCTCGGTCTGCAAAGGAATCATTTCAATGGAGATCTGCCATCTTTCAGCGGCTTGTCGAATTTGCAATACGTGTACTTGGATTACAACGATTTCGATACCATCCCTTCCGATTTCTTCAACGGGCTTCCTAATGTGAGGGTTCTCGCTTTAGACGACAACCCGTTTAACAAGACTTATGGATGGAGTATACCTAGCGACCTAGCCGAGTCGACTCAGTTGGTGAACTTTTCTTGCTCGAATTGCAATATTGTCGGTGAAATCCCTGATTTTTTCGGGGGGTTTCGTTCTCTCAATATGCTGCGGCTCTCGTCGAATAAGTTGAGCGGCGTAATACCGTCTAGTTTCCGCGGCTCCACGTTGCATGTTTTGTTGTTGAACGATCAAGAAGGTGGTGGACTGAGTGGTTCTATCGATATAATCACGACTATGCTCGAGCTGACTCAAGTATGGCTCCACGGGAATCAATTCACAGGATCGATTCCCGGTAATATTGGGAGTTTAACTTCCTTAAAAGAACTCAACCTCAATAGAAACCGCTTGGTCGGCCTCATTCCTAAAAGCTTGTCCGATTTGAATCTTGAATCGTTGAATTTGGACAATAACATGTTCATGGGACCAATACCACAATTTAAATCCGCGAAGTTTCGTACGACTCGAATTCTTTCTGTGAATCAAATCCGGGTGAGCAATGTGCTCCTCAAGTTAGTGCCCTTCTAGATTTTCTTCACGATTTGAATTATCCTGAAAAACTCATTTCTCGATGGACCGGTAATAACCCTTGTGAGGGTCCATGGTGGGGTATTTCTTGTAATTCGAAAAACGAGGTTTCGATAATTAATTTGAAGAATCTTGGATTACAAGGTACACTTAGTCCTTCGCTCGCGGACTTACCTTCACTCCTCGAAATTCACTTGGAGGGAAATTATCTCCATGGCGTGGTCCCCACAGATCTAACTCTGCTGACATCACTGCGATTGTTGAATTTAAGTGGGAACAATTTCGATCCGCCAGTTCCGGTTTTCAAAAACGGGGTAACGGTAGTAGTGAGCGGCAATCCGAAACTGGATCCCTCTTCACCGCCTTATGTGGGCCCACCAGTGCCACCTTCTCCAGACGGACGACCATCCAACGGTGCAGATTCTTCGGCTCGTAAGGGTTCCGGTTCTAACACACACACTAATGTAAATAACGAGCCAAAATCGAGAGTAGTGGCCATTGTTTTGTCTGCAGTTGCAGTCTCTGCTTTTCTTGCAGTGGTACTAATCGTTGTCTACTGTCTTAAGAAGAGGAAACAGACGAAAAAGAAGCCACGTGGCGGGATTGTGATCACTCCTCCTAAAGAATTGCCGAATTCCCATAACGAAGTAAAGATCGAAATAATGGATGCGTCTTCTTCCTTCGAGGCTCAAAATAATAGCTACAATACTAATACTACTACTACTAATAATACTCGAGTGATTGAGGTTGAAAATCTTGTATTTTCGATTGACGTAATTCGTAAGGCAACGAACGATTTCAGAAAAGAAAATGAGATCGGACGAGGAGGGTTCGGTGTAGTCTACAAAGGCGAACTCGAAAACGGGACGAAAATAGCAGTTAAGAGAACGGAAGCGGGCCCCGTTTGTAACAAAGCGTCGAACGAATTTCGGACGGAAATTTCCGTCCTTTCGGAGGTGAGGCACCGCCACTTGGTGTCGCTTTTGGGATATTCCGTTGGAGGAAACGAGATGCTTTTGGTTTACGAGTATATGCCGCAGGGTGCTTTGAGCAGGCATCTTTTCCATTGGAGGAGATTTAATTTGGAGCCATTGGATTGGGAGAAAAGGGTTTGTATTGCTCTTGATGTGGCTAGAGGGGTGGAATATCTTCACAATTTGGGGCACCAAACTTTCATACACCGGGATTTGAAATCGGCGAATATTCTTCTTGATGATGATTTTCGGGCGAAGGTTTCGGATTTCGGGTTGGTGAAGTTGGCTCTTGATAGTGAGAGATCTGTTGCTACTCGATTGGCCGGGACTTTCGGTTACCTTTCTCCTGAATACGCTGGTATTAATTTTATTTTTTTTCGTTTCTTTAAACAGCCGATAAATAAGCGTGCTTTATTGTTTATTATTATTTTTTCAGTGACGGGGAAAATTACGACGAAGGTGGATGTTTTCAGCTTCGGAGTGGTACTGCTGGAACTCCTGACGGGACTAGCGGCGCTCGACGAACGCCGTTCCGAAGAAAAACGGTACTTGGCGGAGTGGTTTTGGGGGATCAAATCCAACCGTGGGGCCCTGATTGATTCCGTGGACCCCGCTCTTGATGCCAAAGAAGATATCTACGAGAGCATATACGTCGTCGCTGAGTTGGCGGGGCATTGCACCGCGCGCGACCCGAGCAACCGGCCCGACATGGGTCACGCGGTGAATGTACTGACCCGGTTGGTTGAGAAATGGAAACCCTACGAAGAAACGGAACGGTTTTGTGATGATGATGACATTGGTGACACGTCGTTGGGGCTTCCTCAGCTGTTGAAGGGGTGGCAGGAAGAAGGCGACACGCGGGATTTCAGCGGGGCTAGTAAGCCACCTGGAATGCCCGATTCTTTCCGTTCGGCTGATGCTCGTTAACGAAAAACAAACGGAGATGTAATTAATTGGTGAACAATACTTGTATGTAATGAAAAGTGTGGTGGTTTATTTATTTCCATTTGTACAAATGATGTTCGTGTAAAATTATATGTAATGTTCTGCTCTGTTTTATTTACTTCACACAACTCTGTACATGGTTCAATATTAAAACGGTTTATTTGATGTTGCGTTCGTTCGGTTAACTTTATCGAATAAGATCTAATTATGTATGTGTTTTATAGAGGAAAAATTACATTTTTCACCCCTTAAGTTTGTACTAATTTCATATTTGGTCCCTTATGTTTCAATAATTTAACATTTTTTGTCATTTCCGCCATTTCATCATTAACTCGCGGTGATGGGCACACGCTTGTTTCCGTTAGTAATAGTGAAAATTTGACGGAAATGACTATAAGTGTTGATTTTTTAAACATGAGGGACCAAAATATATTTTTTGTAAACATGAAGGACCAAATGTGAAATCGATGCAAAATTGATGGATGAAAATTGTATTTTTCCCTTTTTATAAAGTATAAACTACTCATTTTCACTTGTATAGTATAGATATTTGTTACCCCCTTAGTCGTGATATCGGTAATAACTCGAGTGTGGCCGAGTCATGGTCGAGAAATGGTGCCAAGCAAGGGTTGGCACAAGACATCCACACAATCGGCCAATGAGTGATCGAGTGTCGGGCAAGCATTCGGGGTGTTTGTCCGAGAAAGCAAGGATCGGCTTGATTCAAGTGGGAACAGTGATCGAAAGTACTTGTGGCTGGCACGGGCATTGCTCGGCTGCAAATGCGGACAAGCGTGGGCAGTAATCGGCATCGGCCGATAACTTGGGCAAACGAACGTTCGAAGGAAATCGACCACGACTTGACAAGTGTGGGTAATTTGGCACGACCGATTGGCAAGTCAATGAAGGCAGCCCGATGTGCGGCGTGCTAAAGACCGTGTGGGCAAAGAACTAGCAAGTGATGGGCAAGACAAGCAAAACGTGAGGAAAAGGCAAGGCAGATGGGCTGCCTAGCAACCGGCCGGGCTGCTTGGGCCGTTTGGCGCGCGCGCGCGCCCGATCAAGATAGGCTTCGAAAATCAGCCTTGTGACCGGATTTGAGGGAAGTTACGGAGCGATTGAAGCCTGGAAAGCATGAAAAACTGCCCCTTATTACTTGTAATAGTTAGCCAAGTGTCATGTATGTATGCTGCCATGTGTCCTTAGGTAGTTTTATGTGAAAACTA